ATATCCACGCAATTTTGACATGTTGTAAGCTAAATATATTTAGCTTACAACATCTCAAAATTGTGTAAATATTATAGTGGATGCAATGGTAAATTTTAGCAATATATAATAATATTGCATACGTAAACAACAAAATACTAAAATCAGATTAAAAACACCTGTAAACACAACTAATATGTTAGATATGTAAGGACACAAGTTGGATTTTCTCCAAAACTTTATAGCCTTAGAGAAGAGTAAATAATCCTTGCCTAGCTTAAATAGCCAAATATGTTTGGTGGAGTAAACATAATAATAAATGAAAGAAAGGAAAACAAATAAAGTGCCTATAACTTTCTATATTCTATACTTTTCTGATGTTGCTTATAAACTCAACACCAAAATATATTGCAAATTGAACTATTTATCTCTTCTACTTCTATCATGAATTCATGAAGTGAGGACTTAGAAACAACATGGAAAACTAATTTTATAACTATATCATGGTAGTGCTAAAATTTTTTATTTCAATTCCAATTTTACAAGTATGCTTTGAAAGAATCAATGTTATATATGGCTGAAAAACCATATATGTGGGAGATTGTTACAAAAAAGTGGTAAAAAGTAAATAAACTTTTTAAAATTTTCATTTATAAAAATCAACTATATTTATGCCAAACATTAATCTGAAAATAAATGTTAAAATTAGAAAAATAATCAAATATTTTTGTATAAACAATTTATCTCAGTTACTTATATTTTTTAGCTTTTATATACCACTATTGGAACCATACCATTTTTGGTTTGCTTAAGGGGGACTGGAATGATAGTGAATATACTTAGAATATCCTTGGATATTCTAAGATATTCTACCATCTAATGGTTGTTATTCATTTAGATTAATCTTGTATTTATAATTATAAACTTGTTTATAATTTATAAACTTTCTTAAACACTTTTTAGTATATTCTTTTTTATTCTCCCATCTAATGGTTGATATGCAATATGATTAATCTTGTGTTTATAAATTATAAATATGTTTATAATTATAATCATTTGGATTAATAAGTAAGAATAATACTACTATTAAGAAAATTAAATGTTGCTACATAGCAAATTTGTGTAATAGCTACCTGAAACCTATATAAAAACTAAAAAAAAACCATGTATGGAAAGAAAACTAGTGTTGTGGTTAAGCTTGAGCATCTTTAGTAAGGAGATATAGTACTCACTTCCACAACAAAGATAGCCTCCTTGACAGCCTCGAGGGAGATGGCACAGGCTCCTCTGGAGGGAGCAGCCATTGCCAAAGGGTACTACTGTCAACTTCCCAGCGAAGATGAGAGCCAACTGAAAAGATTTTCTGCTTGACAACATCCCAAGATGCAAATCTGACTATCCTCTGGTGAGGCTCAAGGGGGACTTCCAGGAGCACTTGGTATAGCTTCAAGAAACTTGAAACTTTCCTGGACTTTGCTGGAGCTGCTCATAGGCATCAGGACGGGGTCGGGCGGCCAGAAGCTTCTCCACTTGAAGGAGTTGGAAGATAACAAGATCAAGGGCAAGGACAACATCAAGAACACGTGCTTCTGTTCTTGACGAGGAAGAGGAGCTTGACGAGGTTGCACCAGAGGAAGAAAAGAAGAAGAAAGAAAAGGCAATGGTGGATGTGAAGAAGTGGAAGAAAGCTACCACGGCTAGTGTCCAGGAAACATGGAAAGCCCAGCCTCCCGCAAGCAATGCCAAGGCGCAAGGAGTGAACAAGAGTAGCAGCAGTGGCAAGCTCAAGATGGGGGGTGGAAAGCTAAGCGTGCAGCTCCGCCTTGTTTGAGGCTCTGTTTCACAGAGAATGTGGCTGAGAGTAGCCTCGCTTTCAAGACCTCCAATCCATTATCCATGATGGATTGATTGATTATCATGGTGTGACTTGAGCTGCGAATTTTCGTTAGTAGGGTGGACTAACGCTGACTACTATCAGTCAACGCTGCTCATTACTGTTCTAATGAGCTCATTCTAATGAATTCATTGATGTGCTTATAAAGCTGGTAAAGAAATAGTGACTAACGTTGACTGCTATGACTAGTATAATCTACTACTTACGATAAGAAATGTTATTGAAAGTTTATATTTTTAAAAACAGGAAATTAAATGTCCAAAGTGTTTGTTTGAGACTTGCAATATAATCTCCCAATTCAATATCTCTCTGTTGTCTTAATGAAAAGTTGTTGTCTTGTTGCCTTGTTTGAGACTTGCAAATCATAATCTCCTAATTCAAATGCCTCCAGACTTCTCCATCTGTTATAATTTTGATTCAATACCACGGACCTGCCTGTGCCTGTTGCGGTTTAAAAAAACCGAAGTAATTTGTTTCATGAATCTTCATTCTGTGCCTGCAACCTCAAGCGTATCATCAGTCCAAAACGACCGAAAAGCGTACCTCCTTTCGCTCTAAGCTCCGTCGAGCTCCAGCTTAACCTCCGAGGTGGAAGGCTAGTTCAAGCAGAAGTTATACTTTAACTCGAGGCATGGAGACTGTTTACCTTGGCATCTGAGTCGTGTACACGAGCAGCCAAATGCGAACCTCCAGAATTGGCCGAGTGATTTGCCTCAACCACGGGCTTCTCCAGATTCTCCACCTCACGGATCCTAAAAGTGCTCCATTAGTCACTTGTTCTATCTCTCAAGCATGCGGGCCGAACAACGAAAGCATCTCCAGGATCAAACACAGTGCCACGACGAGACACTGGATCCAAGCCTGTTCCTGGGCTCTTCGATCATTGCCGCTCCGACGAGCAGCACTCGACAAGCATCTCCAGGATCAAACACAGTGCCACGACGAGACACTGGATCCAAAGCCTGTTCCTGGGCTCTTCGATCATTGCCGCTCCGACGAGCAGCACTCGACAAGAATGGATCCTCCGGGAGAGAAGCTCTTGGCACCTTCTTGTGCTCGTCGACTCCGTGGATCGCTGCTGGTGGATCTCGTCCCAATGGCGGCGTCAGGCGGTCGTCACTCCACTTGCGAGGCCTCCAAGGCGACTGCCAGCTTTGGCTTTTCTCAAGACGAATCCAATCTATGGTGCTGCTACAGATTCGGTTGACTGGCCACCTTTGTGCTGGCATTTAGCTGCGACGGTCGAAGGTGCTGCTTGCTCCTCTCTTGAACGAAGGAATCGAGCTTGTCCCAGAGCTCTGCGTCCTCAATCTTGCTCAAGGGAACGAGATACTCTCGCTGACTGCCGCTGCTGCTGCTGCCACCGCCAGGAAGATGGCTGCTTCCGACGTAGCACACCAGGATGTCGTTCGCCTTCTTTCTTCTTCCCTTCACGAGTATCCAGATGCCGGTGATGATGGCCACCATAGCAAGCAGGAAAAGGACGATGCCTGCCACAAGCAGCCCCGGTGTCGCAAACGCTGCCGCTGCTGCTGCTGCTGTTGATGATGACGACCCCAGAGGCGGAGCAATAGACAAGGGGCCAGGCGGAGGCGGCGATGAAAACGTGTGAAAGACAGGCGACCCTGGTTGCCATGTTATCGTGTCATGAGCGGGCCTTGGCCACCAAGTGGTTGTCCCAGAAGAAGGTGGCGGCCCTGTATGCTCCTTTGCTGGTGGAGGTGGGTGCTGCTTTGCTCCTCCTCCGTGGCTGTGCTGCTTTTCTGCTCGCTTGCTGGTGGCGGTGGCGGACTGTGCTGGTGCTGCTTTGCTGCTCCATGGCTTGTTGGTGGCGGACTGTGCTGGCGCTGCTTTGCTGCTCCGTGGCTTGCTGGTGGAGGTGGCGGACTGTGCTGGTGCTTCTTTGCTGCTCCGTGGCTTGTTGGTGGCGGACTGTGCTGGTGCTTCTTTGCTGCTCCATGGCTTGTTGGTGGAGGTGGTGGTGCTCCATGGCTGTCCTGCTTTGGAGGTGGTGCTCCTCCATGGCTGTGCTACTTTGCTGCTCCATGGTGTTGCTTTGCTGGTGCTGGTGGAGGTGCCTGACTGTCGGCGCTGCTGTGAGGTGGCGGAGCTCCTCTCGCCCTCCTTGGCGATGGTTTGGGGGGCGGCATGCTACCTGGAGGTGGCACTCTCGTTTTGGGGGGTGTCGCGCTCCTGTGCCCTGGACGAGGCGGATGCACGCTCCTGTGCGCAGCTGGAGGCGGCGCCCGACGAGGTGGAGACGACGGCGGCACACTCCGACGGATGATGCTAGCCATATTTCTTGCTTACCGGATTCGCTTCCGAGAAACCTTTTTTTTAGGTCATGAAGGTTTAGTGCATATAAATGATTCTCGTACGGACGCATTATCTGCAGCGCTTTAAAGTTATGATGTCCAGTTTTTGCGATCATGATGGAAGCAATATCAGTGTTCGGAATCTCTTTCTTTCATTAGCACATAATGCTCATTTGGTTCTTCCCCCAAAAAAACCGGAGCTCGTTGATAAACTCTCAGGCTCAATTCTAGGAGGAAGAGCAAAGATGAGAATGGTCGTTCACCACGATGCAATGCTCCGTGTGTAAGAATTTGATCAAAATCTCCACTCTGGAAGCTCATGTTCTTTGAAAATTCTTTTCATTGCGTTTTAGGCCTCAAGAGAACTGCTGGCCCTTTCGATCCAGCATCATCGGGGGAGCCGATGAGGCAGTTGGCTCCATCATCGGCCGCAGCGCCACGCTTGTCTCGCCCAGCGTCCGCTACAAGGCGAGGATGCAGCACGACTGTAACTTTGTGCTCTAGGACACTTACCGCGACACGAACAAGGTGGTGTGGGCACACTGGATGCTCCCATGCCCTGTCTAAACATTTTGCCCCATTTTCCACATGATTGAGATTCCAAATCTGATATTTACCTGGATGGTCACGCCTAGCTCAACTTCTTTTTGCACTGGGTATTTACTTGAATGTACGTTGGAGTTATAATTATTTACTTATTGTAAAGTCTACAAAATAAATACACTAGTTATGGTATAAGTAGCAAATAGCTGATATTTAGGGTTCTTGGGATTTTATTAGGTTGCCCATACCAGGAATATTCGTAAGCTCTTCATTGATTCTTTTTCCCCAGAATATTCTTTGTGCGTTTTGGACATTCCTTGCCTTCTAGCGCGCAATCTGGCGCTTGGCCTGATCAATCTGTCCCAGCGATTCATCCGGGGCGCGCTGCTCGTCACTCCCGAGCTTCTCCTGCGCGGATCGGACGAGCCCCCCAGCCGCCTCGTCGTGCTCCCGGGCTACCTCGTTTGGCTGCGAGGCATGGTGCTTGCCCGAAAGCCCCTTCTTGGCGCCCTCGAATTCGTCCTTGAGCATAGCCTTGGCGTCGTCCAGGCCGCTCCGTCCCTCGCCCTCATCGTCACCTGCGCTGCCGGATTTCGCTTTCTCTGCCTGCTCATATTTCTCTTTGAGGGCCTGCTGCGCGGCGTCTAGGGGCGTTCCAACCTCGGACAGCTCCCTGCATTAAACGAGGGATCAAACAAGAGAAAGAATCACTCTCCCTGATAGATCATCGATCACACAAGAGCTCGATAACTCACTCGGAGGAGTTGAGATCTCCAATCCGCTACGTATGCAAAGACGCGATTGTCGTCAAACAACAACACAAAGACAAATCAAAAGGATCTTACCTCGCCTGACGACATGATCGCACCGATTGATCCAGAGAAAGAAAGAGCCGCAACGAAAGTTTATGCTGTTCGATCGAACTAGTTGGCTAAGCGACACCTGGTTTACACCACGTGTCTAGCATAGATGACTTTTATTGACCAAAGACTATTGAGCATGCTAAATTAGCTTATATATACCGAATGTATCTCGCACACCGGACCAGTGGAGTTTCGATTCGGGGAGAGATCTGGTGCTTCTCTAGCACTGGAGAAGAGAGAGCTTTGGGGGAGCGATGGAGGTGCAAGCAGCTGGCCATAATGTTGCAATGGTTTTAAAGAGGGTAGGACAATCGCTGGGCATGGACTCGGTTATCTCTTTGCGTAGTGTAAATCTGTGAACACAGTTTGCTTGCTGGTAGGAATGGGGGCAGTTTAGCGCTTGGCGACAACTTTCTTGTCTAACAGAATGACCTCCGAGAAGTGCAAAAGACTTTGTACCAGGTCCGATGCCCATGACCTTCATAAACAGTTAACTATTTATCTGTTCTGGGATCAAATGGCAGTCCTAACTTAGAACCCCAGGATGCCCACCTAGTACAGTACGGCTATGGTGTTCTATGGTGGAGCCCGTACCAGGGAACCCGGCATAAGCGAACCTGGCATACCTTTATTGGTTCTAGAAAAATGTTCAAATGCCAGGTAAGCAATAATACCTTGTTTTTCAAATTAATAGAGTAATACTTAGTTTAGAATATTTGTAACAAATCTGGGTCGATCCAGCCTTTGGCAGCCGTCGGATCAAATCAGGTTCTCAGTGAGAACATGGCTCACAACTGCCAGGTTCTCCAGAACCCAGCTGCCAGTTGCCAGTTCTGGAGAGAACCCTCTCATCCTTAAATAGCATTATTCCACGTGTCCATTAGCAGTAGGCCGTTCCCTAGTCATTCTCAAGAACCCAGCTGCCACCTAGGTTCTGAACAACCCTCTCATCCTCAAATAACGTTATTCATTAAGAGTTTTGCCACAGCCTGTTAAGGCCGTGGCTCGCCTATTCTGGACGGGAACTCCTTTTTCATACACAATTATCTAGAACTATACAGCTCATGTCACATATTTTTATTGCCAGCTATGTAATAATACAAGTTCTTCAGACCCACGTCACATACTTAAATACGTAAGCAATTCAGCCAGATGTTCTATTGGATATTCTGACTGGAAAAAATTAAATTATATGTTAAAAGAGCGTAAGCGTGAAAAACGTGTGAGCTAACAAACAAAACAGCCACTGTTGGCATCGACGACTCATTGATGCTACATAAACTGCGAGCAAGAGAGTTTCTCAAACCAAGTCCTCTCTTTTCTAGCTTGGAGGAGAGTGAGAGTTTACAAAGTCTAGCTAGATACTTGGTCACTCGAGAGCTTGTTCAGCTAGTTCTTAGAAAAGCAGCCGCTCGCAAGCTTTTTAAGAGTTCTCTGTCTAGATACTTAAAAGCGTAGCTACAGCGAGAGCGAGTGTTGCCTTAGAATCGATCGAAAGCTTCGCTTACCCCGAATGGCTCTAGCTGCGAAGTGGCGATCCGTCCAAGGTCAGGATCACTGGGAAGGCATGCTGGAGCCTCTGGACAAGGACCTGTGCCAGGAGCTCATCCGCTACGCGCAGTTCATCCAAGTGGTCTACGACTCGCTCAACAAGAACCCCGTCTCCAAGGCCAATGGCCTGTCGCGCTATGCCAAGTCGGAGCTCTTCGACAAGCTTCACGTCAAGGCCAATTACACCATCCGGAACTTCTTCTACTGCACCACCGATCTCGAGACTCTGCTGGGCAAAGTCGTAGAGACAGTCCTCGACTTCACGGACCCAAACACTTCTTGGTTTGGATACGTTGCCGTGTCGGACGACGAAGAAACTCGGAGGCTCGGCCGGAGGGACATCGTCGTGGTCTTTCGAGGCACGCAGCAGGACATCGAATGGGCCAGCAACATACTTAACTCGTTCCACGGCCAGATAGGCAAGCCGGAGCCTAAGTCCGGCCTTCCACCGCTCCAAACTCCGACTTCTACTCCCACAGGGTTCCTGTCCGGCCTCACCAACATTCAGCTTCCCTGGGAGAAGGTCCTTATCGCGAACCGCTGGCTGGCACCTTACACCGGGAAGAACCCCCAGGAGCCTCTTGGTTTCGGGAAGAAGTCGGCCAGAGAGCAGATCTCCGCGGCTGTGACCTCGCTCCTCAACGAGTACAAGGCCGAGGAGATGAGCATCACTGTCACCGGACACAGCCTCGGTGCGTCACTGGCGACTGTTTGCGCGTATGATATCGCCAATGAGAAGTTGAACGTGAATCCTTCCACGAAGAAAGTCATCCCCGTCACTTGTTTCCCTTTCGCTTCTCCTTACGTTGGCAACGAGGAGTTCAAGACCGCTGCCGAGAAGATCGAAGGCCTCCGGATCCTGAGAGTGACCAACATCTGGGACCTGGTTCCAAAGGTGCCACCGCTGCTCTGGGGATACAGGCACGTCGGGATAGAGCTCACCATCGATACTTCCAAGTCGAGCTATCTCAAGTTTCCGACCACGGACCCTTTCGATCACCACAATCTTCAAGCGCATTGCCATCTCGTCGGTAACAAAGTGGAGCCGCTCAAGTACCACCACTTAGAGCTTGTGAACAAATCGTCCAACCTCTTGAAGGATTCTATAGTTCCCGGTAACTGGTGGGTGGTGGAGAACACCGACGTTGTGGTGAACGAGGCTGGGCGATGGGCACTCAAGGAGTACAACATCAGTGCGGACAACAACGAGTATAACTGAGAGAAGAAAGTGAGGTTTTTTCAGTGGTGTGCTCTACAACAATAACTGGAATAATGCTCAGAAATAAAAAATCAGAAGTGTTTGGCTGTTCCTTGCAAAGCCCATGTGAAGGGGCTTTATAAAAAATGACCATTGCTCACTGTGATGAAAATATCTCCTACGAGTTTGTTGGGAGGTCTTCTTCTTCCTTTTCACGCCTGCACACAATTCTTGCAGAAATGTATTTTATAAGCGACACACCACTGTCTTGCACAGTTTTTTTTATCTTTGGAACTTTTCATATCATGCTGGCACCAGCATCCTATCCTGAAATACTTCCAGATCTTTATGAAGGAGGTGCAAAACAAAAACAAGAAAAACAAAAACAAGGCAAGAGAGCACCACAAACAAAAGAAAAACCAACAAAAAGAAAATGTATTCATAGTTTTTGTATGAATTATATTAAAAATAGAAATTTTTAATAAAAAGGATAGTTCGTTGATATTTTTATATAGGGGTTTTTATATAAGTTCCACACTCCTTTACTAAACCTCCAACCATTCTCAAGGTTGGATTCTTCTTCTTGGGAGGTGCTTCTCCAAAAGGCAACCATGCAGTGAATCCATTAGGTACAAGCTCTTGATCTAACCTATTTTCCCCCTCCCATAAGAACATCGTGAAACAGCTCGATGGATGTAACTGTGCTGCTTAGGTTTGCTCTTTCAGTCCCTCTCCAGCCTGATATGAATCAATAGTCAAGCCTTGAGCATCATGCTCCAGTCAGTCAGCCATCTTCTTCACTCTCAGTGCGTCTCCAAGTATTCCTGGAGTGGGAGTTCAGATGAGAGCTTTGGTTTCTTCCTCTCTTCGTCCCCAAGATACTTCGACCAAGAGCTCTACTGACCATTGTGGCTTTCAAGCCTCTTGGAAGCCATTTACGTTTGAAAGTGTCTATTGCTAGTGAATTAGAGCAGAAAGAGATGATCAGCAAGAATGAAAACTTCTTTTATTCCTGTTATCCATTTTGGCCTTGTATGCCTTTTCCACACTTTGCCTCTCTTTCCTTTCTCTTGTTGTTCTCAAGGATCTACTAACATTCTCAAAATGTAAGAGCTTGATAGCTTACTTTAAGTTCATTTAGGCACCGAACACCTCAACATAGTTGCATTCCCTCTCACATATTTTCTTGTGGTGCTCCAAATCGTATATCATCGTTGTCAAAACCTGAGAGGAGGACAACATACAGTCAACTTTCATACATCACAAGCCAAAACTCTAGAACGTTGGATTTCTGGAGGCTCTCCCAGAAAAAGAGGTTCACACATGAATCCATAAAGAATTAAAGAACAATGAGAAAATATACATGAAGAAGGATTTATTGTTCTCTCCAGGATCTTATCTCTTGTCTAGCTAGTGCATTATGGCCAGCAGCACATCATCAGTTGGGACCATGAACCTATCTCTGGCAACTTCTAAAACACCAGCACAAATAGAAGAAGAAGCTAGTGTAGAAGTAAAGGAAGCAATGGCTAAGTACCAACTGTAGAAGAACTCCTCCTTCTCTAGGTTGTTGAAGGTCAAATAACTCATCTTGAATGAGCCAACGTGATCAAACAGTGAGGCTCTCATGGCACTTGATGCTCAGCTTGCAGCAAGGCAAGCCCTATGCACAAAAGACTCTGCCAAATCTGAGAAGCAATGGTGCTGGGAAAGCGTCATAGCATGAAGCTCCAGTCTCACAAAGATTTTCTTCTTATGCTATTAAATGAATCATGGATTTTAGTTATTACAAATGAAAGTTTAAGGACCATACCTTTTGTATTAAAGAATAAGGCCTGTAAATACATATGTGCATGTATTACTCTACCTAAGTAAAATGTTAATTATAATACTATAGCATATGGAATGTCTATTTAAGATTTAATCTATCTAATAAAGAAAAGTCTAAACCCCAATTAATAACTCACATTGGTATTACAATTGTCTTTGAAGGGCAAAGCTTTTTGGTAGTGCTTTGTTTTAATTTTCAGGATTGTGCTTTTTGTTATCCTTCATTCTTTATTAGATTTAGATCTATATTAGTTTTTTGCAAGATCTAGAATTCTAGTTATCATTATGCTTAGATTTACTTTTCCTTCTAATCTTTATTGCATTTTCTTCTTTTGCCATGCCATGCTATTATCGATCAAGGTGTATGTCATTTGAGGTTATTGATGCTACTCTGTTAAATTGAACTTTTGGTGTTGTGGAGTGTGATCATATTGCTATTGTGGCCATCCTTGATATGTTGCCATCTCTAACTTCTATGAGATATGATTATACGATTTATCTTGTTCT